TCTTTTTAGTCTAGACAATGAATATTTCTGTTTTGAAAATAGACACAACTAAATATGTGAATTCAATAAGGTTCTTGAAACGAAAAGCATTTAATAAAGTACTGAAATTTTTCGTCTGTTTAATTTCCAATTTCAAAAATTTGTGACTGATTGACATAAAATATTCAAGAACCTCTAATTCAAATAAAAGCAAGTTTAAAAGACGAAAGACAAACAGCAAAAAATTGAGGCAGTTATGGAATAAACGAAATCTTAGTATGAAACTTACAGAACATATGTTATTCATTATTCTCTGATATTCCTTTATTCCATTATATCTTAATTAATTCAGTAAGGCAAATATGATACAAGCTGGTATATTCTTATCAGGATGTTTATGTAAGAGACATAATTTGAGCATTACTTTGAGATAAACGAGATAAGATTTCAAAAAAGAAGAACATTTTACTGATAAGGAAGTAAAATAGTGACGTTATTTTTATTGTACGCGTTATTATTCAGCTACGCATTCACTTGCTGGATCAAAAGCTGGATATTTTCTACAACGAGCATTTCCCAAAATATGACATTGATTTTCCTTCCTTTTCACCTTTTCATGCAACCCCTTTTAATTTCCGTTTTCATTTCTTTATCCTCATTCATTTCATTTCAAAAATCAATACTTTACTCCCAGCATTACTTCAAATATTTTTGAGAGTAGAATAACTTCAGTCCTACCATTCGATGTGTCACATTGTCAATTTTCCGAACCTAGGCAAGAATAAACTTTTCAATGGCACTGCTGAAATTTATAACAATGAAGTTAGACAGAAAGGAATGAAATTATTCGCTTCGGCATAATCCGTTATAGTCTTTTGTACCGAAACAAGCAGCAGTATCAGGTTTTCCACTTATATTCAATGAAAAAAGAAAAAGAACACAAATTTTAGCAGAATGTGCTACGTTTTTTAAAAAAAGGAAAATGACAAAGGATGAAAATTTCATTGAAGCGGATTTTTATGAGTTCCATTGAGTTTTTCGTGCTAAAACAAATGCTTTATATTTATGATGACCAAACACAAAAAGTCTCAAAATTAAATTACTTTAATAAAATTTAATGCTTTATGCTGCATTCTATTAATTAATCAGAAGTATGAGAAGAATACAGAAAATAATAAATTTATTCACATTTCATAAATTTCGCAACTTACTGTTGTGATTAATCAATTGATGTGTATATTAAGCTTACGCAATCGGTAAAAAACACGAATTTCACATTATCAGCGTTCTTTATATTTAATGTTTTGACGCCTTGTAATATTAAAGACAAATGAATGCCTGCATACAATTATTTATGATAATAAAAAATTGGTCGCATTTGATAAATCTTGAAGATGAAATTTATTTTTAATTTTTTTATAGCAGACAACTTCTCACGTGTGCCAAAAGAATGTCAATATTGCGTCATGAGTCTTATTATCACATGCTTCATAAAATATTTCTATTATACTTGTAGCACAGACTATCAACACATGTGTCTTTTCAAATAGTTCCAGAACGAGTTGAGTTTTAAAAGAAATATTGAAAATAATAATGAAACAAAAAAATTATAAAATTAATCTTCTTTTAATTTTGTTGACTTGACTGGGCGATATGTGATTCATTTTTGAAGGAAAAGCCGCGATTTTAGCTATAAATATTCACACACGGCACACGAACATTGATGCTATTTATTCTGTTGTTTCTATTTTTAATTTCTCTTCTCTTTAATTCAGTCTCTCACATCGTTGATAATATTTATGAATGTGTTTCGCAACACTCGTGATGAAATTTCTGCATAATTGTCTAAGAAATCGTTTGGCGCATATTGTGTGCCTCAAAAAGTTCAATGACATTATTTTGGTATAATATTCGACAAAATTCAGTGACTCTTGACTTACATTCTTCAAGAAGGTCGCTAATTGAAGCCACAAGCGTCAAAAATTAAAATTTTATGCTGTTAAAGTATATTTTTCCTATTTAGAGAAAATTTTCATTTTTTTTATCTTGAAATTTTGAAAAACAATAATAGACCGAAAATGAAATTATGAGATTAGGGCACATGGATATGGTTCGAAAAAAATTATTTATTTATAAATAAACACACACACCGACTATTCGATGACGATGAAAATTTACATAAAGGTTCACTCGTTCATTCATGAGTGATGAAAAAAATGAGAAGAGAAAGGTTGAGAGATTTCATGAGTATGGGAAATATGGGAAGCATTATTAATCGTGCGGTTAAGAGTTATTGAACTGTGAACAGCAACGAGAAGTTGCTAAAAGAAGAGTATATGAGGTATGAACATCTTCAACCAGAAGCATATTATGAAGATAAAATTAATAGTCGTGGAAATACTTAAATTAAACAGAATCTTATTAGAATTCACTTCACATCGATGCCTTTACAAACTTTGGCATGCTTCTCCTCATACCTGATCATTATTTAATAAAAACTACAATCAAAGTAATGCAATCTAAATTGATTAATTAATTCTATTTGATGAAAACTTATTGAAGCATTAAAATTAATGGAAAAATTGTTGATACGAGAATATGCATCAATAATTGCATTAATGAATTGACTATGTCTCTTAGCCAGCTGACAATCTACTCATGAGTCTCATTGCATATCATAATTATTCATCCACTTGGGGTTTTGCATGTTTATTGCTCTGAATTCAAGTCACAAATGAAACTAAAATCTTTGCGGTGCTGGTGACAATTTTCTAGACAAATAATTTATTTGTTTTATACTTTTTGAGCACGCATTTGTGGATTGAAATTTTGAAATGCAAACATATGGCAGCGCCTAAAGTTTCAATGGAAATTTATTCTTTTGCATTCATTTTTTAATATTAAAATTCTTCATGTTCCTTCTCATTTCTTTTTTGTCGCTCTTTTTTTCAGTGCGTCTTATGCTAATAACTGAACTTATACATCTACATAAATGAATTCATTGGAGACGAGATTTATTTTAAAAAAACTTTTTCATATTCAGCCACATTCAGTATTCGTCATTTTTGCATATATTTTACAGAAAAATCAACATTGATGTGAACTTTAAAATAAAATAGGCTGCTCATTAAAAATGTCAAGCATATTATAACTAGTTATTTGATATTGATGACCAATTTTTTAAATTCTGATAAAATTTGCCAAAAGTTTTTGAATTTCCTTAAAAATTGAAAAGAAGAAATTCAGTTGAGGAAAAAGAGCTTCCTGTTGAGTTAGAAGTGCAATCTATGCATCGGTTGATTTCATTTCCGCACATACAAATACTATGAACACATAACATAGTGACATAAGAATATGACAAATCTCTTAAAATAAACTTGCTAGTGTTGTCGTTCAATAAACAAAGGAAATGAATTTGAAGAAAATAAAAGGAAAGAAGTGACATGAAATTTCTCAGTAATAATCAATGCATTTCTATTTACACATTGACTGACTTCATCTAGGCTGATTCAACTGATATAAATTTGATAAGAAGCGGAATTAAATGAAGTAATTCAGGTAAAATATAAATACAGCTTACAACCACGCGATGAATCGTCAAATATTTTTATTTTCTTTTCTACGTTATTGAGACCTATTTACTATGTTGTGATAATACTATGAAATTATATTAGATGTGATAAAATAGCTCGAATTCCATTAATTTTATTGACATAGCTATCAGAATTGGTTGGATTTACAAAATGAATTAAGTTTTTTAATTCATGGAAAATCTCAGATTTTGTTAAAAGGTTTTGAGATCTTTGACTATTTTTAGGCTATAATGTCATTCATAAGACCTGTTTCCCAGAAAAACTTTTTACTGTCTTACTCATTACTTTACTCATCAATTTGTTCAACAATTTCCAATTACTAACAAGCTATTCAATACTTTACATCATTATGTGACTCACTCTTAACTTTTTGAATGAAAAGTTTGAAAAATATTTTGTATTTAAATGGAGATAAAAGTTTATTTAATGACATAAGAGTCACCTTTCGGATATTGAGTATCTCTCAAAGAAACATTGAAGTTTAATGCGAAAAAGGAATGTACCGCATGTAAATGTGATTTCTTCTTCTCCTTTAATATCATTAATATGATCTCTTAAACAACACCGTAATTGCTGTATATTTGGAGAGTAAAATAACAAATTGCTCTTCCTAAAACAGCAATGAAGTGCGAATGGATAATAATTGCCCGAACTGCTTCAACCATTTACACACGCTCATTCATGTTAATTAAATTTCATGGCATAAACAGAAATTTTATTTCAATATGAATATTTTTTTGCATTAACTTAATTTTATGGAAAAATATTAAACTGAAATTGAATTTCATGTCTAAAAGTCATACTTATAACCAAATATGAAAATTTAAATTTTAAATCGATGAATTTCAATTAGATTGAAATATTTTACTAAAATTTTAATTCACCAAAAATTGTTTCATGAAATCGCACTACAGAACATCACATTTTCCGTGATATGAAATAATAATTGAGTTTAAAAAAATTTATTGAATGAATTTTTTTTTTTTTGAAAAGACGTGTTATTTGATTTTTGAGTATTAGCTGAAATTAGAAAATGTTGTCACAAAATTGGTTATGTTTTGTTTTCTTGATGTTTCTGGCAGGCGCTTAGCTTTAAATTTTTCTCGAATAAATTAAAATATTAAATTATTTCTAGAAGTCTCACAATAACTTACTATAACACAAACTTCTTAGTAAATTGTTATCAATACGTTTGCTGAATATTTTAATAAGCTGACGTAGGTCCATACTGATGTAAAAAAACTCATTAATTTACGTCTACAGTTACATTTACAATTCATTGATAATAATGCTATAAAAAAATATGAAAGGTTTCATACGGCAACAAAAATATGCTGACCTCATACGATCCTATAACATATGTGGACGTATTGCATTTCGATATTAATATAAATCATATTTCAATAATTTTTCTTTTTCTTTTTTCAGAAATCTACATTATCATAATCAACGAAATCGATAGAAACAACAGACATCATCAATCAGGCATATCAAGTTTTGATATTGTTAACATAAATGTAATTTTTTAACATCAAAATTTAAGTCGAGAAAAAAAGAAAGAAAAATCTTGCACAAAAGAGGAAGCTTCATTTAAGGATCATTTTATAATAACGAGTAGATTTACAATATAATCGAATTAATGCAGTACAAAAGTTGTATGCTTTGCAAAAGAAAACAGAACTAGAGGAAACCGAAAGAAAAATGAAAGAGAAAATTATTCAACATTTTGATTAATTGAGTTTACTCGTGTTCATCGTCAATTAATTTTCAACATCGCTGTTGGCTTTTATTTCAACTGTGTTCTTAGAACTTATAAATTTTTTGTGTGTCTGCTCTAATTTCTCTCCATCGTCATCATCGCTGAATATTTTAGAAGAGCCCTTTGGCAAATAAGTGAAACGATAGGATAAAAAGTTGGGTTGACGGCAAACACAGCACGCTTCCAGTAAGCAAATTAAGAAGAAGAGAGACATTACAACTGGGATAGGAAAAAATAAAATTTAAATTAATTTGAATATTTCCGACATTCACTGCTACGAAAAATAAAGGAGTCACAAACAAAATGATTTTTAAACGACGATTTAACGCAACATTTATAGTATTACTATTCAGCACAATGGTGGCGTCAGAAAGAAGAGGAGAGGAATATAAAGTCAACGTCGATGACTTACAAGTAAGACTATTTCCCTTTTAAATTGCAAATTTTATGGCCACATTTTTGTTTTTCTTATTCAATAAATTAATTAGCCTTTTAATGCGACTTTTTACGTACGTTTCCGTAACAATGAATATTTTTTCTTTATTCTTGCTATACACTTAATTTCTTCTTTCATCACCTTTTTTTTGCATAACGTGACAATTAATCCACGACACGTATTTCCATTTTTTTTGTGTGTGCTATTATTTATTCACTCATTCATTCATTTGTTCATTATTATTCCATTAAAATCACAGGTCGTTTATTCTGATCCTCCGGAAACTGTCATCACGCCACCATCACGTTATCTTTATAGCAAAGAAATAGCACAATGTCCATCAGGCGAAAGCAAAATGATGCTGACACTTTTACTTCAGTCACATAAATGGAGCGATGTTGGTGAAAAAAAGAGAGAAAAGGCCATTAAAAAGATGTCACGTTTCTTCCATGTACCAGTGGTGAGTGTCTACTTGTCACTTTATAATAATTTTTTATTCCTCCGCATTTTCCTAAGACATAAAAAATTAAATTATGATGAAAAATCGTTTTATTATTTTTTTCTCGGGATAGAATTACATCAAAGTCGATGACGTTCACACACCCGAAATGCTTGAGATGCTTAAACACTCAATCAATAAGAGTAATAATCTCCTTAATACCAAAGAAACTGTTGGAAGAATAGAATTCCCAATTGGTTGTGGTGATAAATTATTTTCAAGTAGTAAATCCGTTGCACATAAAATCAATGAATATGTGAAATCTAAAAAGTTGCAAGAACTTTCGGGTCTTCCATTCCACTGGTGGAATATTTGGTCGAAACATTTAAAGAGTCGTGTGCAAAGGACTAGACGACAAGCTGATGGATCTGGAGAAGGCGAAGGAGATGATTATGAAGATTATGAAGAAACTGATCAGGATCTTGAAGAAAACGAAGACGAGTAAGTTGATAATTTTAAAAAATGTAACACTAAAGTTCAGTAGCCGAATAATCCTTATTCTTATCTTCTTGATTGCATTAAAAAGATGATTCAATTTCTCTGTTATCTAATTTCTCACTTCTTCCTTTTTTTATAACGACTTTATCTCTTACTCTACTGACAATTTAATTTTATAATCTCCATTGTCAGTTGATTGCTAATTAAATGTCTTATCTTCTTCTAATTCAATTATTACTAATTGCTTTCTTTTTTCATTACGTAGAAACACCCAAGATACATTGCCGGACAATGTACAAAGTTACAACAATCAGGTAAGAGATTTTTGGGGCATTTAAAAATCAAAAAAAAAATATTAAATTTTATTAAAGAAAGAAAGTACCTAATTTAGAAATGAGTGCGTCCAATCTACTTAATTATTTATACCTCATTAATGCAAAATTAAGCAATTATGAACCTTAAAAATATAAACATATTAATCATAGTTAAATGATTGTTTACCTGTGAATGAACATTTAAGATAATTATTCACGTGAGATTAATTCACATTCACACTTGCAACAAAATAAAAAAAAAACAGCAACAAAACCATAATACGACATTCATTAAAACATTAATTTTTGTGTATGCCGATGTTTTGTTAATTTATTATGTATTTATGTTTTATCACACTTATTCACTTCAATTCACACATGTGTATATATTTTTGTTACGTCTTATTTCTTCTGTTGTAAACTATTGAGAATTTCTTACTTTCCTTAAGTTTTATTTCTGGTTTCTCTGTCTACTGTCTACGAACTATGTATTTATTTTTTTGTTAAACATTTTCTATGTTAATTGGGTGGCAAAAAACACATTTAAAACCATTTTTTTATCACATTCTAACATATACACACATAAATACAGTACATTGTATCATAAAGTCTCACATGCGTGCAAAGAAAAAAAAATCCAAAAAGAAAAATGTCTTTTTCCTCATATATGCTTAAATTCATCACTTATAACATAACTTTAATAGCCTTTATAAATTTCTTATGTCAAATGGCATCATCAGTCAGCGAGTATGAGATTAAAATGGAAGAAGAAAAACTTATGACAGGATTTAGTGATGATGATGTAGGAAAAAAAATTCTAGTCCTGTCGAAAGTTTTATTTTTGTTCTCAAATCGTTCGATGTGCCAAAGCATAAGAAAAACTGCTTGTTGTACATACTTACTAAATAAGAACTCACTTCTAACTTAATTTTGTTTCAATTTTCTCTTTCTCTTTTCTTGCCTGCCTACCTCCTCTCTTATACTCTACATTCCATTACATCCAAAATTCATCCCCCCATGATGCTGCTTTGCAAAAAAAATAACAACATAAAATAAACATAAACTGCTTTAACTGTTCTAACTCGACAACCTTAAAAATGCGAAAAAAATTAAATAATGAAAAATTCATTCCTTTAAATCCCATCCCAACATTTTATGTATACTTGTATAATGTCCTTTTTCCGTCTTCAATCCACAAAAAAAAATGAAATCTTGAAAATTTCTTATATCCTCTCGCGGAACGAAACCAATGAACGAATGAATGAAATTGAATAATTTAGCGAAAGAAATTCTCAAGGAATGAAGTAACGACTGAAGTATTATCAACTCCACAAACAGCTCATCGGCATGATGATGAGCTGCCAATTGTATCTGAGATTGAACATAATGAGGAGATGGAGAAAAGTCATGAAAGTGATAATGGCAGTAATAATGTGGAGAGACAAAATTTCGATACAGACTATCAGATTTCACCCGAAGAAGACTCGATGGTTCCAGTTGAAGAGGAAGACGTAGAAATAAAAGAAGAAATATCAATACCAGGTCCAATTAATGAAATTGAAGAAATTACTCAACGCACAAGTGATAGCGCACCAACGCCAATTGGCTCAAATGAAATATTGAAATTGGAGAATGACGTTGCAAAAACAATTGAGAATGACAATAATGTAGGTGATGTTCCACCACAATCAAAACAGCCAGATGATAAAATTCTTGAGGAATGGGCACAAAATGTCTTTTCGCATGCTCCAAAAGATGAAGTTACATCAAGCAGTGAAATACAATCCACAATATTAATAAGTACAACAACAGAGAATTCTCGGGATCATTATCATGAGAATGTCCCACTTGAAACAACAATGAAAAAGATTGTTGAGGAAGCCATTGAATGGCACCAAGAAATTCAATTATCGACAGTTGATATCGAAGAAATATTAAAAGAAACATTAGCAAGTACGATTGGAATGGCAAGCCCAACAATAAGCAATGCACAACAACCAGAATCAGAAACAATTTTTGCTCCTATAAATAATACCTATAATGAACACATTAATGTGTTTATTGATGAAAAATTACCAATTGTTCCATCTACGACAATTGCAATGCCATCAACGACATCAATTGAACAGGAATTTATATCGGTAAGTTTGAAGCTAAGGATGCTATGCTGCTGTGATTTACTGGACACTCCAGTGCTGTTCTATCAAAGCTATTATTAATTGTGTTGAATTGAATGAACAGAAAAAAGTCGTTAATTGATATTATTTCTGTTTTCATTCTTCAATTTATTATCATTTCATTCAATGGACATTTGGAACGTTAATTTATTTTGATTTATTTGATTACTGCAGAATACAAAAAGAAACAAACAATTTCTTCTTGTTGTTTTCCTCATTGGTTGGACTTATAGTTGCCTAAAATTGAATTTGTCAGCATATCAATTTTGATTTATAGCAAATGTGTCTCAGTTTTTATCGATATATCATATGATTGTGGCTATTATTACATATGTCAACTTGAATTATTACAAGAATCATTTCGTTTATGTAATTTAATGTTACAAATTTTGTGTTCTTTTTTATATTCACACCGTTTTCACGTGTGAATCTATTGGTTTTGTTCAGATTAAAAAATCAGTTTTTCGCATTTTGTGAGAAAACAAAGCAAATTTGGCTATAAAAGGTCACAGAAGAAAAGTTTGTGCCTGAAATTTTACATCATTTTCAAAAAACAGATTTCAAATTGGTTGTGGCATTGCTGAGAAAATCGCAAAATACGCTTTCTGTAAGCAAACAAGCAAGCAATCAAGCAAGCAAGCAAGTTAATCAGCAAGAAATCTCAATAACGAGACATTGTAGAGACTTCTAGTTTTTTACATTTGATCCGTGCTGCTCTTTAGAAGAGCTGTATTGTTTTTGGGCAAGGTAGAAACAGCCGTTGCTTCAGAAAAAGCCAAAAACTTTCCTTTCTTACGAATTTTTCAAATTAAAAGTTCACTGTGGTTTTTTTTTTATTTTAAATTAAACTTTGGATGAAGAAAATTTTTTTTTTTGAGCAAAGAATTAAGAAGGAAATACATTTTCAATTTTGGACTAGGGGCGACCCTAGTCAAAATCAATTTTGTCACTTTTTTCTTCGAGGGTTTATCCAAATGGATTGAAACTTTGCATAAATATTCTAGTGCTTAAAACAAATACAAATAAAACATCCTAAAATTTTTTTGAGTAAAGAACCAAGTAGGTAGTACATTTGCTATTATGAACTTGGGACAGGTCTAGTCAAAATCTAGTTTTTCACTTTTTTTCTTCGAAGGTTTATCCAATTTCAATGAAACTTTTCTGAGTATACTAATATTTATACAAAACAGTTTTAAATATCTAAAGCAAGAAATGTATTCTATATGTCGTCAGACCCAAATTGTATAAATTTGGTTGTACATTCAAAAACAACTTGACTTAAAATTTTGTCCCAAAAAATGATTTTTATTAATTCAGAAATGTGTGACCTGAGGATTAGAATGCTCATACTGAAAAACTAGATTTTGACTGGACCTGTCCCAAGTTCATAATAGAAAATGTATTACCTACTTGGTTCTTTACTCAAAAAAATTTTAGGATGTTTTATTTGTATTTGCTTTAAGCACTAGAATATTTATGCAAAGTTTCAATCCATTTGGATAAACCCTCGAAGAAAAAAGTGACAAAATTGATTTTGACTACGGTCGCCCCTAGTCCAAAATTGAAAATGTATTTCCTTCTTGGTTCTTTGCTCAAAAATATTTTAGGATGTTGTATTTGTATTTGTTTTAAGCACTAAAATATTTATGCAAAGTTTCAATCCATTTGTGTAAATCCTCGAAGAAAAAAGTGACAAAATTGATTTTGACTAGGGTCGCCCCTAGTCCAAATTTGAAAATGTTTTTCCTTCTTGGTTCTTTGCTCAAAAAAATTTCAGGATGTTTTATTTGTATTTGTTTTAAGCACTTGAATATTAATGCAAAGTTTCAATCCATTTGGATAAACCATCGAAGAAAAAAGTGACAAAATTGATTTTGACTAGGGTCGCCGCTAGTCCAACATTGAAAATTGATTTTCTATGGTGTACTTTGATCAAAAAAATTTTTTGGATGTTTAATTTGAATTGACATAGTTCTGACATAAATCACATACCAATATTACTTTTCTTTATGTTAAAACACTTGACAAAATAGCGACATAATTCAGGATTAATTACTTTTTAATAATATTTTAACATTTACGAGAAAATGTGGTTCAAATAAGTGTGAAATTATGGCCGAGATTTGGACCAAAATCAGCTATACTGGTTCATAGTGTTCCCGAGGGTGACAAACTTCAAACTAAGTGTTTTTGTTGCTGACATAATTATGACATAAATTAGGTATATCTTTTGAACTGTGTCGATATGGGTCTCGGCCGTACTTCACACCCACCCTTCAAACTTATGCTGAGCAAATCTTGGTCTATCCATAAGACTTTTGATGGTACGGTGTGAATATATCCGCATTAGGTTTCTACCCGATACACTAGTTTTATATTTCTTTATGTTGAATGATATTTCAAGAAAGGAATTGAAAATTTACAGAAGAAAATGAGGATTTTCCTTGTTTTATAAACACACAATACCAAATGTTTCCTATCCTTTCATGTTCTTTATCCTTGACAATAATGTTATATTCTATCTTCTTTTGATCCCATTGTTTTCATCATTTTGTGTTGCTTTTGATGTGCCAAAAATGATTTTTTCTTTTTGTGTTAACCCAAATAAAAATCTTTGTTTTTCCTCCTGTGTGTTACTTAACAAACTAATCCAATCAAAAAAAGAACGTAAATTTCATAATGTTTAGAATTAATATATTATTTCATCCCAACATGCATACACATTTATTATGAGGACGGAATAAAAAAAAGATTGACCTTGAGAAGGGATTCTCTCTCTTTTTTTTATTCGTCTTCATATACATACATTAGCTATCCGAGTTGTAATCTTTTAATAATATTGCCTTGTTAAAAACATCTTCTTATGATTTCGTTTTGAGCCTAGATTTTGACGGTGACACAACTTTACTTTAATAATTACTCTAAGGCACATTTTTAACAACTCTGGTAGCTATAGCTATTTAAAAATATTTCATTATTAATGTCCATAAATTCATTTATATATCTTTTTATTCATTTAAACGACTCTTCATCCCTTCTTTTATTGTACAAAACTGCTTGAAAATGCCTCACATTTTGAACTATTAAACTATAAACATATAAAAAAATATATAAAGACTGTGGAAAGTGTCACGGAACATATAATGCCAACATTCTCATCATCACCATCATCATCAATTTCATATGAAACGACTATAACGAAAAATCCAACTATAACAACAATAAATTCAGCTGAAATAACAACAATAACCAGTACTGAGCCATCCATAACAGAAACAACAACAACAACCCTTAGAAATGTAGATGCGACAATTGCACATGTCGTTTCGGTGGATAAGGTAGAACATTGAAACTAACTTTTCTCTGCTCACTCACTTCTTTGTAATTTTGTCTCTATCTACTTTTTACTTGTCTTCCTTTATATACATTTAAATATCATAAAATATGCTAAAATTCTATGTTGTAAAATTTCTTCACACTACTTTTATTCTTGCTATATACTTCAATTTATACATTCTATTTTTGTTTGTGCACTTGAAATAATAATAGTTTGTTGGTTGGATGGTTATACATGAGTTGTGTGGGAAAAAAACTTTTGGAGCGCTAAAGAAGTACCATAAATTATAGATTAAATTGAATGCAAACGAGATTGAAATGGAAAAATATTCTGGACTTGAAACTCTAAAATGTAAAATGTTGCACGAGAATGAAAATTAATTTTGGCAGAAAAATTATTCACGAAACATGTGGAAATACCTTCCTTGTAATATGCACTAACCGGATTCCTTTAAATGAATGAAAATATTATTAAATTTTAATACCATTATTTTGAGACTCATAGTTTATGCACGATAAAATTTTAAATATTATTGCATGACATATAGGAACATTTTTATAGAATTTTTTTGCTCGATACATTATTGCCTCTTTTTGCCTAAAAGAAACAGTTTAAAGATTTTTTTTTCACTAGTAATGACAAGGAAATTATTTTGAAATTTGATTAATCATTATTTAGGTCACACCTTCAACAACATCTACATTAGCTCATGGCTCAGAGAAGAAATCTGAAGAAGAGTCAAATTACGATGATGAATATGATGACGAAGATGCTAATCATGACGATGATACTTATGAAGAAGTAAGTCACATGTTCTTTAAATTTAATTTCAATTGCAAGTTCGATTTTTAAAAATTTAACGTTTGAACCCCTGACAAAATAATATTTTTATTAAGTTTGAATGAAGCTAAATGAGATCCTAAACGTAATTTTTTACAGTCATTACCAACGGAAAAACCCACAACATCATTCCGCACAACAGTTGCTGCCAGAACAACCAGTGGAAATGAACTAAGAACGCCACCTCCACTTATTGTGACACCACAGGATGACGATGATGATGATGTGAGTAGACGTTTTATTTTCAGCCAATTATATAAAGCCAGATTAAACGATCAGTTCTGATAATGTCATGGAGTTAAACTAACATAATCATTGTCTCGATCCATTTGATTAAACTTTTACAAAAATAATCAGTCTAGGATTTTAGGTTTCTAATTCTAATAATCTTGTATTTGCTTCGAATTTAGGATCAAGAAACAGAAATTGATGAATCAATAAAACAATTATTATCATCTTCATCTTTACCGCCTACCACAACGACACAAATTCCGACCACAACAACAAGAACCACGACACTTCCATCAACAACTTTGCCAATCACAACAACAACAGTTCAAATCGTAGAGTTTACATCAGAGGCTAGTGAAAATAATGCAGAATTACCGGATGCAAATGAACCAACAGATTATGATTATCCTGAAAATCAGAAGCCATATGTTGCAAAAAGATTGAATAAACTACAAGCCACATCTGGTAAGACATTTACACATAAAATTGAAGGAGTTTTCAACGACCAAGAAGATGGAACGAAACTTAATATTGAGCTTTTGGATAAGAATAATGATACAATATCTTCAAATTCATGGATTAGATACAATCCAAAAACAAAAGAGCTTTATGGTCTTCCACTTGAGAATGATGTTAGTAAGCATGAATTTAAGCTTCGTGCAACAGATAACAACAGCGAGCATGTAGATGAAATTGTCGATATTACAGTTCATCAGCACAAAACTTTAAGAAGCGTTAATCATGAAATTTATATTCAAGTGACTATTGAGAAAGATTATGACTCAATTATTGATTGGGAAATTCGTTTGATTCGTGGAATAATCGAAGCTTTAGATGATAAATCTGTTGAAAGTATTGTTGTGCGTGATGTTAAGCCAAATAAGCATAATAAGAATCTATACACATTTGTTTATTCAAATGACACACTACCAAAGGATACATGTCCAAAGGCTGAACTTGATAAATTGATGTTACGATTAACAAAGAAAGCCTTATCAGATGTATTACAACCAGAAATAACTGTACGTAATGTTGAAAGAGATCTAATCAATTCGTGTGCTGAAGTTAATACACCTCGTCCACCTCCATCACCGCCAAACACAAAGAACTTCCCACCAACAGTCCGTAATGCAATCGATAAGATAACTGCAACAATTGGACAATTATTGGTATTTGTAGTGCCTAAAGATACATTCTATGATCCAGAAGATTTGACAGAATTGAAATTGACGTTGCTTAACGAAGACAGATCACCAATTGATCCATCTAATTGGCTTCAATTTGATGCTAAGAATCAAGAGTTTTATGGTGTTCCCGGTGTACATGATAAGTCTCAACAATATGTTCTTGTTGCAGAAGATAAGAATGGGCTCACAACAAATGATGCACTTGTTGTAGATGTTCATAATACTCATTTTAAAAGCGATTATAGTGCAGCATTCGAATATCAATTAGAAATAGGCATGGAGCAATTCCAAAATCCATCAATGAAGCGTAAATTTATAGAACGTCTTCAACAATACTTCCATGATTCAACAACTGATTCAATCGTTATTAAGTCTGTTAAGAAATTACAATATTTAGGACGAACAGCTGTGGTCGTACAAAATACAACACTCCACCATCCAAAAACCTGTCCATCACAAGATATTCTTACTTTAAGAGATCGTCTTGTTAGACAGGATGGAAGTGTGAAATCTAGTGTAAAAGAAGCGATTGGAAATGAATTTAATGTACAAAAAATTACAGTCTCTCCAACAGGTATAAAAATTTACAGTCTTTTAAATTGCTTTACTTACAGTTTTAATTACAATTAATTTTTTAGGAAAATGTACACTAGGGGATACATCTCATCATCATGAAATAGAAACAGGTCACGTTGATCGACCCGATGAGAAAGAAACACCAATTATAAATCAAGAAGTACTTATTACATATGTACTTCCTTCAGCAATTATATTGTTGATGCTTTTAATTGCATTGTTGATTGCATGCCTTTTATATAAACGTCGCAATACCGGCAAAATGGAGCTGGGCGATGAAGAGGAGAGAAAGTCGTTTAGAACAAAGGGAATACCTGTGATATTCCAAGATGAATTGGATGAGAAACCTGAGATATTGACGAAATCTCCCGTCATTTTAAAGGATGAGAAGCCCCCACTTTTACCTCAATACAATGGAATGAGTCAAGATGGTAAGTCAATAAGCACATATGAAAATATTTAAATTAATGACTTTTTTTTTTCTAGGCGAGGACGAAAATGTCGATCAATATATTCCTCCACAACCACTTCTTATGGGAAGTCGCGAGTCTCGTGGAAAATCACCAGTTACACCTAGTTATCGCAAACCTCCACCGTATGTGTCACCATAGAAATAAATCGACCATTACGACTATATGAGAAAATAATTTTTATACATACATAATTAAATTATCTTTAATTTTGGAATTTGAAGCGATTAAAGCAAAGAGAAATGAGTCGCTTTAAACATTAATAATGAGTAAATTGTAGTCATTTATCATCATCGTTGATAAACACATAAGAGAAAGAAAAAAAAATTGATTTAATCTTCCATCCCATCGTAATATGTATATTTAAGCTATATATTTAGTGTGTACTTTCTATTCATTTTCCTCATTTTTTTCTACGAACTTTTAGTTTTATTTTAATAACCTACACTAAATTGTATGGACCATCTGTAGCATGAAAATCTTCTTCCTTCCTTCTATCAACTTTTATAATGGTTATAATGTGAAGCATTACTTAAAGTAAAGGAATTATACAAATAAAAATTGAAATGGAAATACAATAAGTTAAAATTTAACTAGACGAAAATGATAGATAAATTAAATATACAAAATTATACACAAGAAATTTACACACAAATCAAATTTGCAAATTTTTCGGGAAGTCAGTTTGACACTAGCTTCTGATTAAATTAATACAATTAAAATTAACCAAATTATCGACATTTTTGAAGGGCATTTATTGTATTATTGGCAAATAGAATGTTGCAGCTAATGAAATTTTGAATTTCATGCAAGTCTTTGAAACTTTTTGTACTTTTTTCTCTAATTTTTACATCATCATGTAAATATTTCAAAGTCGACTTTCGAACAAAGTTTTATATTTTCATAAAGTTTAAGTTCTTAATGATTCAAGTTTCTATAATTAATTAATATAATAACTTTACTTTCCCAACTTTTTTTAATTCTCACCCTTTTCATATTTCCTTCATTAAATAATCATTATTAAACTGCCATATTAAAGAATTATACATAAATTTAAAGTAATTTATATTGTATAAGACTTAATGAATAATTGAGTTATTTTTCAATTCATTGATTTTTTTTTTTTTTTGTACTGGATTGACTTCATTTTTCTCTTGGGTCATTCACTGATGATGCTCATAAGTGAATGATACCTTGCCATATTTTATCATTGAGAAATTTTTACTTGAATAATTGCAATCTCTAAACCAAACTTAGAATATATGAAAGATAAATCTTCTACTTTGATTGATTTTTTTTAAACTTTTAAGAGATTTTTTAATAGAAACTTTGATTCCTGCTTCATGAACTTATTTCTTAGAAAATGAGTACACTTGAGCTGACTCAAATTGATTTTTAAAGTTTTAATGCAAGTGATTCCAACTATTCTTTATGATAAAATATGGTTAAAAATGAAATAAATCATACCATCAACCAAATAAATAATCTGAAAATTAAAAGTGTAAAGAAAAATAAGAATGTGAAAAAAAAAATCAGAGTCAGAGTGTCACTGCCACATGTGCAAAGAAATTGATTAGTAAGAAATTGAAGAAAAATTATTGCATTTATTGCTTTTGGAAAGTTTGAGGAATTGAACTGTAAAATTTTTTTTCCTCAGATGGAACATTAAGAAAAAGTAAAGGACCCACGTTTCTCCCTATGAGTATGATTTTGATCCTAGAATTTCTAAAACTACTGGAGCTTTTATACATACATACTATTAGTAATCCTTGCTGTTGTCTCTATCAATAATCTGAACATTTCAGCTTCCCAATATACATATTTTATGATTTCAATGAAACCAAGTGAATTGTATGTAGCACCAACTACACAAGCAAGTTTTAATAAATTTAGCTGTGGATAATTAAATACCATAGGAATTGCTATAGAGAACATATAATATAGTATAAAACTATCTAAATTCAAAAGATATATCAAAATGAAACTTATGAAAATAATGATAATAGAAAATCAAAACTAGCACAGAGATTTGGAAGCATTGATAGTCTCTGTGTAGGAGATAGCTATATAATAATATTTAATAATAGTAAATACACCGTAATTCTCATCATTTTTTACTCTGAAACATAAAAATAAATAAAATAATGACGACATAATCAGGAGCAAAGTGAAAATAAATAAGAAAAAAACGAGCAAAAGTATTAATTTTTGATAACATTTTCGAGGACAAAATACCAAAATGATTTTTTTAGGAGTCGAATTTATGAAAAGTCCATTTTTCATCATCAACCGAATTAATCATTTTTTTGTGACCCAAATCATATTGCATGTAATATTTTTATAGTTATAACATAGCCATAGAAAAAAATGAGAAATATCACAAAGAATCATGAGGATACAATAATGAATGGAATCTAAGCAAAATCATGGATTTAATTAATTTAAGTGTAAAGTTTTAACTTTCATTTTTATATCCAATATTCTTAATAATTTTTTATATAACTATTATGAAGAAATGAAACTGATAAAGATAGTACTGTATCTGCTAAACAATTTGGCAAAGTTACTGAAATTTCGTATTTAAGTTATTAGAGAAAATAAAACAGCAACAAAAAAAAATTAATCGATTAATGAATTCTTAACTTCAAATTGAGAACTTCAAACCTCTCAAAACGGATAATAAGATATTCATGTTGTTTGGCTTCTGGTATAGGCTGCTGATTGACGAAAAAGAAGAATTATTATTATTATCATGAAAAATTGTATTTAACTACTAATAGGTTACCAAAAATTAAAAGGATGAAAAATAAAAACTTAAGAAAATCATTCAAATTGTTGTTTTTTGCAAATTAAAATTATTGCTAAAATACAGCCAAAGTCAACAGATTTATTTAAAATAAAAAAAAAAATGTACAGTTATTTGTCCTTGGCTTTATCAGTTACACAGCATTTATCAGTGGAGATGTATCATCATTTGGTGTGCTTCCCTCTAGTTCATTTAATAATTTTATTATAGATGATTGCATTGGATTATTTCGATCTGTGAGATCCCTTAGAATATCACGTGGATGTCTAACAGGTACTGAAGCTGAAACAGATGTAATTCTACTGACATGTGGCTGATTTTCAATTTCACTTTCACTAATTGTCTGGTAAAGTTCAACGACATAATGCATAAAATAGATTTCAATGAAAATGTAGCATAAAAATATTAATCCTATAGCAGCTAAAATGTCTATTAAGTATTTTACTTGAAGCTCGTGGTATAAAATCAAAATTACGTCAATGGAAAAGTAAGTTTGATGGAAAATCGAAATTCCTTGATACACAATCCACCAAATGATCTTTCCAGACGATTTTTTCACTGATCCATGAATTAAAAGTGATGAGCAGATGATTCCAAATATGCTTAAAAGGATGTAAATTTCTGCATGAATTTTCTCTGAAACAAATTTTATTTTACTCCATTTTACTAACAATCAAACCATAAAACCGAGAAGAAATGTTGTCTGTTCATGCAATTGGTGTACTATACCTTTATCAAAGAGTTTTTGATACTCAACTCCCAAAATTCCGTTCCTTACTAAGACGAATATACAAACACAAGCCTTAACGATACTTTCTATCAATGTCACAATACCGATAAAAATTCCACCACGCACTTTACAGCATCCAAATAAATTTAAATTGTCCATTTACAAAAGTTTGTTTTCCCTTTACAGCTTGTAACATTGAATTCTTAAACTTGACTGAATCGCTTATGTAGGTCAGTATTTCTGTTTTGCTTACAGCCATTATTATTTTTATACTCTAGTCCCATTTTCTTCTCTCAGCATCTCACATGTTGTTTACACTCTCGATTTTAAGCCTTTATGGTTCTGTTGATCAGTCAGTTTTTAAATTCATTTTGATAAGATTTTTAAACACAGAAATTTTAATTTTTTAAGACGATCTTTACTTATGAACTTTTGGGAACTCAGATGTTATAATACTTCCAAAAAAATATCTCACTACTACATTTATTTTAAGAAATGTCAATTTTTAATACTGGCTTATTTTTCATGCAGTAAAAATGCATTACGAAGCACATTTAATTACAGTACTAAGTATCTTCACAAGGTTCAAAATAAACTTCGTGATCGGAAGCGATTTGAAACATGCAGCATGCAAAGTATATTGAAAAAAGCTCAATTACTAGACAAATCACAGCAACATCTAAAGCGACAATTCCCAGCACAAAGAGATGAATAATGTCTGAATAATTCGCTGTGATTATTATTCTATCTGTAATAAAAAATAATAGATATCCAATTGACACAATTTCGTAGAAGATCCATGCAATTAGCGGCAAAGTTAATTTATTTTTTATGCCAGTTTCTAGTCCGTGATATGATACGCAGCCAATAATGGATATTATCAGAAAAATTTCAGCATGTGTGCATTCTGAAAATGTGATGACTTATTTTTTTTTTATTTGTGCATATAAATTGAAATTAAGACTTTACCCATTTTAAATTGCTCAGATTTTCCTGTGTACACAAAATACGTCATAAGAAAAGTTGATGTTACCAGCTTAAAAAATGTCTCTATGAGTAAAATATTCAATACTTTATTGTCCTTCTTGGTTATTTCATCAAATGTGAACTCGTTAATATGCATTTTTTAATTCGTCTAATTAAAATTATTTAAGAACTTAATTGATTTAAAAGATATCTATGCACTTTAGGAAGCTTCACTTGCAACTGATGAGTGAGAAAATAAGTTCCACAAATAAAATTCGATAGTATAATGACTACAGCAATTAAATGCTTTAAAGAGTATGAGCTTTTCAAAACATGAATGAAATGGAAAATGAGTTTAAAGAATATTGGGCAGGAAAGTATCTTGACTTTTGAAAAACAAGCATCACGAATTCAATTTAAGGTCGTTTGTTAAGTAATAAAAAGCAAAGTTTAATTGTCATAAATTCTTTTTTGTTAAAATTTCATTTAAATTCAGAAAACGTTAAAGCTCAAACATATTCATACTTCCATTTTGAATAAGTTCTTCTCTGGTAACTAGATTATAATGAAGACATGCGACTAAGCTAGCACCTTGCTCAGCAAATTTTTTATTTTTCTCCCAAAATGTGCTAGAATATTTTTTGGTGTCAATCATGAGTGTAGACCTAAACAGACAGCCTTTTTGCTCGGTCGTATATTTTGGATGTATTCTCAGTTTTCTTTTTAGGAATAAGTGTAGTATACTTTTTGGTAAATCAACATCCTTTAGATAGTTTGCTCGGACAAATGCTATATTTTCAGTTATGGTATTCTCATCGTCAATTTTGAGCTTTTTGCTACTTGGTTCATCTCCATTCTCTTCTAGTTTCTTTTTCTCTAATCTAATTTCCATCTCTTTCTTTTGATACTCTAATTGCTTCTGCTTGCAATAATCCTTCATATCAAAGACATCACAAATTTGCTCCATTAATTGCGCTTCCAAAAACTTTTTTCCCATTACTGAATCCTGTAGTTCTCTCAACATGTTTTGGACACAATATTTTGTGTTTGTTGCTACACTGTCATAATCAACGGCTAATTTTAGGTACATCTTGATTACATCCATAATTGGTAACATTCCTTCTTTCCTAAGAATTGACACATTCCACTCAGCTGCTCTTGCAATCATTATTGAACTAGCGCCACAAAGTTCTTTAAATTGATTAATGTCCTGGTATTTCTCAATAAAATCTTTAGATCCACCATTACAAATGATAGGAATTTTAATGTCCGACTCAACAACTGCTTTAATAACTTCCGGATGGGGTTTATTCTGTGGTCGTTCATCTCTATTCCTTCCATGAATTCCAATTGCTTTAATTCCTGTTGATTCTAATTCCTTTACGTGCTGGATTGTCTCTTCAACCGTTTTTCTTATTCGAATCTTACAGCTTACAGGAATTGACAAGCCATTGACTAAAGTTGTTAAAATTTTCTTTGCATTATCCATATTTGCCGCGAGAGCAGCACCCATTCCCCCTTTTACACTGAACTCTTTTGGACATCCCTAAAATAAGAACATATTATCAATCATACAGAACAACAATTTCAGATATAAATTTACTTACCATATTAACATCAATTCCAGAAACATGATCTTCCACTAATTTTGCGGCTTTTAATGCTCTTCCTGCATCTGCTGTACCAATTTGGAGTATAACTTTTTCCTTTTCCTTCTCACACGTCCTAAATACTACATTGTCACCTTCTGATTCATCCACAAAATCAACTGTGTTTAAAACTTTATTAAAAACTTTTTTACATTTCATCAATTTGTAATCTATTAATTCTTCTGTATAAACTAAGTCAGCACCAAACTCTAATGCTAACAACCTCATTGGAAGAGTTCCAACTCGCACCATTGGAGCCATTATAAGTTTATTTCTGTAATCCAGTTCTTTCGATGTCATTTTAATTTTTTTAAAATCTTGCCTTTCAATTGTAAACACAACGTGCGAGTTATAGTGTAACCTTTATGTCCACTACCTCTATAATTCAGTTTTTGATAACGGTATTTTTAAATTCAAATTACAGTCGTTTCAAGAATCTTACATTAAATTCAAAGAAAGATTAAAAAATTAATTTCGCAAAAGTTTGATATTTTAATAGTTTGCTGTATTTTTATGTAAAAATAATCACATATACGTATTAATAAAGTATAATAGACAGCAGGTAAATTAAAATTGAGTTAAACAAGATTGTAATCTGTATGAAAAATCAACACTTGTATGTCTGGATGATTTAACCTGAAATTTTTTTTTGTTCTAGAAATATGCCAAAAATATCATCAGATACCGTTTTAAATAGTTTAAAGGCTAAGCCACAAAAGCGCAAGAAGTCACCGTGTTCAACACGAGAACCAGTTTCCAAGAAAACAAAGCAAGAAAGTGAATCAGAAAAAGAAGAAGATTACACAGACAGATTTAAGTTTGTTTTAGCACCGAAAAATAGATCAGCAACACCACAAAGCAGTACGAGTTCAGACGAAGAGAGTTCGAAAGCTGAAACACCTCCAAAACGCAAGAAAAAGACCAAAAAAGCATCAAAACTGGATGAAAATAAGAACAGTAAGAAGACTTTCGATAGTTCTAGAAATTTGAATGGAAATCAAAAGAAAACTAATGGAACGTCTAAGCAGATTGCAAAGTATGACTATGAGGAAGAATCAGAGACTGATGATAGCTACTTAACAGAGGATCTAGAATCATTTTCAGGAGAAGAAGAAGAAAACTGCGACGCTGAATGGTCAACAGATACCGACTATACATCTCATTCATTCCATGAGAGTGATTGCGAAAGTATCGAAAGTGATAGTAGTACGAACGAAGAAAACGACTGTGATTATTTCGGCGATGAATCAACAGACGATGAAGATTATGCCCCACCAATTGAAGATAAATATGTAAGAAAAGGTGAAGCAGTTATGTACGATGCAAAAGGATTGAATTTAGCATTTGGCGATTCTACTGAAAGTCAAATAATGGATTTAAATGATGTCAGTGCTGCTGTGATTGACGAAGATGAAGCACCTCAATTGGTTCCAATTAATCCAGACGATATAGCTGTCGAAACTCATAAGTCAGATGAGAGTGGTCAAAATATAACTCCAACAATTAGTGCCACGGAAGATACATTGAAAAATCTTTCACTCAATGATGATGACGAGACAGTAGAAAGCTCTCAGCTTTTGCAACGTGCTTCATTTTATAATTGCAGTGATAACCACGGTGTTATTGTTAAATTAAACAGAACTATTCATTTCCATGGAATTTTAGTCATCAAACCACTTGTCAACAGCATTCAAGTGAACGGATTTACTCTTTATACAAATGAAAGTCTGAAGGCTACTTCCATATCACGTACTGATTATTTCTTGAATTTAACACCAATTATTGATGAGAATCAAAATATTAATAGAAATGAACTACATGAAGAATTGAAGAATCATTTGCAAACAGTCACCGATGCTGATGAAATTCTTAACAATTTAAATCCACAAAAAGACGTTTTGTTACATTTGCAGCTTGGATTACCAGACTCAAAAGTTAAAATGCTCCAAACTTATTTATATGATCCAATTTTACCTCACAAAAATATGATACTGAAGAACAGCGTATGTCCAACCAGTGAATTACAGTTGGCAACAAAATTCTTCGTCAGCGATGAGAACCGAAAATTGGGTGCATTTAAGATTAATTTTGATTGGGATCACGTTGATGTAAAGTCAAATACTAGACTTATGATTATCGGAGGTAAAAACGTTGGAAAGTCAGCTATGTGCCAATATTTAATTAACAAAAACATTTCAAAGTATCCAAAAATGTTGTTGATTGATCTCGATATTGGACAGCCAATTTATGCACCATCACAGACATTAAGTGCAACGCTTATTACAGAGCCATTGATTGGTGCTGGATATTTAAACAATGCAACTATAGAAAAATGTATTCTTTTTGGCGATAAATCCATGATGATTTCACCATTTAAGTACAGTGAGCGTGTCTTGAAATTGATGGAATTTTGTAATGCAAATGAAAACTACAAGAATATTCCATGGATAATCAATACAATGGGCTATCATAAAGGTTTTGGAATGCAATTAATGTGCCTCCTCTTGCGTATAATTCAACCATCAGAAATTGTACAAATACAGCACTCAAATATGAGGTTTAATTTTAGAAGCATTATGAAAGAATCGTTTGTAAACAACTTCACATTTACATTCTTTAATGAATCTTATTTGCAAAGGTTTCCACGCGAAGTCAAATACACAACACATGTCCTCGACTCAATTGTCAATAATAGCGCTCAACAAGGAAATAATGATGGAAAAGAATGGACATCAAATGCAACTGAAAAGCGGAAAATTTCAATGATAGCACAGTTGTCAAAGCTGATGAAAGGCGGTCAAACATATTTGAATGATGTTGTGCCTTTCGGAACTTCATTAGATAATATTCGTCTGATTGTAATGGAGGAAGAGTATGAACAGCACGATAATGGAGTCAATTTAGATCTATTTAATGGAAATCTTGTATACTTATGTCACTGTGAAAATAATCAGACTCTTGATTTAAATTCCATTCTCGAATGCTATGGCGTCGGTATAGTTCGAGCAATCGACAAAGTGCACAATTACATCTACATTCTACTACCGCAGCAAGACAATTCTGAGAATCTTCAAGCTATGATCAATGTGCTAGCGATTGGAAACATTCCTTTGCCGCCTGAAATGCTTCTTAAACAAAATTTCGGAGTCAATGGAACAATTCCTCATGTGACATTTGTCAAGGACCAAAGTATGAGCAAGAAGAAGTACATTAACAAGCGTAATATCAAGGATTGCTTTTAAAAAGTCTATTGGAATATCAAAGAAGAATTTGCCTATAGAAGTATGGGAAATGCAAAAAATCAGCTTTTTGAAGAATTGAGATGAATGAGGAAGAAAGAGAACTCAAAATATAAGTCAAAGATTTTTTTTATTACTTATTTCTTGTTATTCAATAAAATTAATATTTTTTTTATCGCTTTGAAGTTACGAAGAAAAAATTTGTTATAAATTCTAGTTGACAGAAAAAATAAGAAGTATAAAAATCAAAGTATATTCATTTCACACAAAATAAAATCGGCTTTACTTTACATACTATAAGACGACAGGGGTGTAGCCACAAATATTTTGAGTGTAGGGGGAGGATATGAGTCTTTTTAAGTCAGAATTTAATTCAAAGGAGGTTAAAAAAAATGAAGACTTTGAAACACCCCAGCCTCCTTAATGCGTCACTGCTGTAAGATAAATTTTCATGGAAATTCAAATTTTCAGCATGAATTGAATTCGATGAAACAGAAAGCGAGCAATAGATATCAAATTAATTCCTACTAATTGGATAATTATCTCAAATACTAATTAGCAATTATTTCGTTGCTACTTTTATTTTGTTTTTGTGTTCATCCCACTTCATAAACTTCTGTTTTTCGCTTTCAGCAATTACTTCTATTTTATTCCATTTTACATTTTATTTATTTATTTTTGGACAGCAAAAAAAAAACGTTTCCTACTGAAATGAAATCCATTTGAGATCATGAAATATGAAGAAAATGCTGAAAGGTGAACACAAAACTTTATCATAATCGTTCCTTTATTATTAAAAACTTGATCTTTAATTTTTCCTTTTCTAACTTCCCAACTTCATATTTTATTCAGCATTTATTGGACATGAATTTTTAATTTTCTTTCTTACCAATGATTCTAGTTCAAAACTTTCTGGAAGACAACAGCTTGTAAATTTGTATAGCAATGCGTTGTTCCTGTATGAACTTGGATAGGAGATCATACAAATTATTTTAATCTGGCAAGCATGAGATCTTGTAGTGACCAAAAAAAAATTAATTATAATATATTTTAAGAAATAAGTTATGGGAAATGGTCAGATCATGTAGGAAGTTAAATATGTCACAGGCAGTGTTGCATTCTGGCTATTTGTCTGGATCAGATAAATTCTGAGACAGAAATTTCTTCATAAAATCGATTCTACATGTAGAAAGAAAAAAACCATCTACATGTAGATTGTGTCTTCATGTAGAATCTGTCTACATGTAGATTTAATGTAGATGTCTACGATTCTACATTCTTCTCTGATGTAGACCTGGAAAAAATGTAGAATTATAGACACAATCTACATGTAGATGGTTTTTTTCTTTCTACATGTAGAATCGATCTTTATGAAGAAAGTTTCTTAGCTAGACAAAAACTATTGAAGAATCTACATTCTTCATCTAGTGTAGACATCTACATTTGCAACACTGGTCACAGGTTTATATTGTGATTTTATGTGTTCTGCAGAAAGACACACACATGAGGAAGATGTGAATTTTAAAGAAGCAATAGTAAGTAATGTTTCCATGCGATAAAAGGTGAAAGATGTCACAAAATGATGTGTGGATGGATGGAGGCAGCAAAGTGAAAAAAGGGAAGCATCAGAATGAAAAAAAAACTGTGCGTAAAAAATTCCATTAAAAAATGAGAAAGATATTGATTTTTTTTTTCTTCAGGATGTAAATGACAATCTTTAACCTTCTTCCTCCTTCCTCATTCTACCAATTTTTCTCAATTTCCTTATTCCATCCTATAACTTCTTACAAGATGAAATGTGCTCGAATTTTTTTTTTTGTAGGTAAATGTAAGTAACAAACTGAAATATCGGCAAAGACTGAGGAGAAAAGGCAAATTTAATAGCTGGAAAAAAGGCAACAACAACCTTTCAATTTATCATTCAACCCATTCGATAGGTATATCGACTACTAATAAACATATTTAAAGGAAAAAACAATTACATGGACCTTTTTGAATGAAGATAAAGTTTATTTGAATATCCTGAAGACATTTCCTTTATTAATGAAGTCCTTTTGGATGTGCTGCTTTGACGTTGATCTCAATTCAATTAATGTTATCAATAATATAATAATGTGTGAAGGGGCTTCGTAACTAGAACGGTGAAATGGAAAAAGAGCTTCGAAAATTAGACATGGCCTGGGATTGAACCCAGGACCTTTGGCACAGAAGGCAACGCTCTACCATTTAGGCTACTGATGCCATTTCACCGCTGTTATCAATAAAAATGGCAATAATTGCATTATGTCTTCTTCTTTACACAATCAGAAAACATTATTTAAATTAAGTACAGAGGAATAAGTGATGTGTGATGATTCTCAGCATTAAAATAGCCTAAAAGAATTAATTTGATGAAGCCAAAAAGATCTCTTCTTCATTCTTATAAAAAAATATCCACTTGCTTGTCATCTTCTATACAATTATTCGTGTTGTTGTTGTTGTTCTTTCTGTATTTTCATTTGAATTCATCCATGTTCTCAATGCTATTATCATCAACAACATCTACATCACCACACGGCATGTGTCGCCATGAGATTATTATTATACATTCATACAGCATATACGCAATTGAGTGGCGCCGTGAATCTTGAGCTTAAAAATGAAAATGGAGTGGTAAGTTCATGATGATGACGATGATGATGAAAAGTCGGAATAAATTCACATGAATAGATGGAGAAAATTGAAGATTGAAGACAAAAATATGTTGTTGTGAGAAGATTATTATGAGAGTATGGATACAGTAATGAAAGAAGTTTCTAATGAATTTTAATCCATTTACGACACAATAGTGATACTTAATATGTGTATGCATATTGATGATATAGATTGAAAAGGGCACTTTAATACAAACATTCTAATGATGGATTTGTTAATTGAATTACATTGAATTTCAAATTCATTAAAATTCTTTTGTGCTTGACATTTCACATGTGACATGCATAATTTTTGGTGTTTCCTCCTGTATCCATTCAAATTATTTATATCCCTTGATTGGGATTATTCTGTCTGAGTGCTCTTATTATGATTTTTTTTTTGTCCTTTGACTTATTACACAGGAACTAAGGCTTGAAGGTTTAAAATTTAAGATTGACATGATTATGTGTAGATTCCCAAACTGCATAAAAATGACGGTTATGAGGAATCACTCTTTGGACAATTCAATGTCAAAATATCCTTTTTTAGATGCTCGAACTTTTCACAACCCAAATGATGTATGCATTAAATTAGATGTGAATATTAGGTTACAAAATATTCATTAGCTGTACCATACAAATTCAGTATAATAACATACAGAAAAAAAGGCATTGAAGTCACTATGTCATTTTTGTTCTCTTTTCTATATTCTCCTATTCAAAACAAACCCCTTCATATGTCCTTCGTTCAGTCATCGCACACACAATATAAATCTTTTTTTATACGATATACCATAGAAATTGAACAAGTAAAAGTATGAAGTGGATGGGGTGAGATGAAAGGGAAGTAAGAGTGAGAGAATAAGATAATAAGAGTTGGAATTTATCTACAATGATAACAATAAAACTCGTCTCACTCTCATTAATTTTATATACTTTACTTTTACTTCAATTTCATCCGTTTCAGTTTTGGTCGGGTCCATCGTCGTTAGGGTGAATGTCAAAGTGGGTGGTAAAGTGATAATTAATAGATTGGAAATATCGCATATCATGATGAATTCTTAATTAGAAATTGAATCCAGATGATGACATACGATGGTGATTGAATTGAATTAGAAAAAAAAAATAATACTGGAAAGTCATGATGTGTGGAGCAGTTAAGCGCATTCCCATATGCTTTTAACTTATGCGGTTGTTTCAATAATAATAAAAGGGAAAATTAGTGTTTGTTGCGACAGACAGTACACTAGATTTTTAACAACACTACCAGCAGTAGGATGATTCAACTTATGACGTCTATATGTGCTGAGTTTAAAAAAATAGAAAGTACTCGAATAAAATTTTAATTAAAGCACTTGAAAGTTTTTGGATTTTGCATAAAAAAAATTACACTACAATTGGACTCAGCCGTCAAAAAAGGACATAGTAAAAAAATACTAAAATGAAAAATCTGATGTTGAAAAAATATATGTATAGAAATTGATGTTGATTTGGTATCAACTTGTAAGATTTCCTTATTGCTCTTTTTCGACAAATTGAAAAATGAAACGCTTTATTTGATGGAATCCTCATCGAGTTTTGAGAAAAGAAATTCAATACATTTTTTCACATTTTTCTTTATTTCATTTTTTTTTTATTTCTTTTGAATCGCATTGAAATTGAGAGAAAAAAATATCTATTGATGATGAATTGAATGAAATAAAGAAGTTGAGAAAAAAATATTTTTCCTTTAATGGCAAAAAGAAAGAAAACAGAACATAGAGCGAGAAGAAGGAAATTCAAAATCCTTGAAACATATTTTCCTATCTGATTAATAGAAAGAAAATTATTATTATGAGAAAAAAATCTATTTGCCTTTTTTTGAGGCTTCTCTCTTGATGTTTACTCAATTGTGGCAATTCTAATTATCAATGCTGCCTACGACATACATATTCAATTTTTAAGCGCATGCATGTATCATGTTTTTAAAATAGGTATGGGGCCGTTCACTTATTACGTTACGCAAAACTTTTTTCACCCCCCCTCCCCACTTGTTACAATATGTTACAACTCACCCCCCCCCCCTGAAAATTCATAATTTATTTTATTTTTATAATTTTTCATGAATCATTAAAAAGGTGGAAAATTTAAAAAAAATGTTTTTGGTGTGAAATTTGTTTTTCGTGAACTTTTTTTTAAAAGACAGACGACAGTTATAACGTTACATACTTCTTGATGATTCTTCGTTACATACCCCCCCCCCCCCCATGTTACATTTTGTTACAATTTTTCAACACCCCCCCCCCCCCCCCCTCCCATGAATGAAACGATTATATTCATAAAAAATACCAATTATTGAGCTTGTACATGCAATGACTAATATAGTCTTTTTTAATGCCTGTCAAATTGAATACTCCAGCACAAATGAATAGAGCTTACAATCTCTTATTGAAGACTTCAGAGATAAATTTCATCTTTATTCATTTAATGATTCAGATCATAATATGATGCTGGAGATTCTATGCATTTTTGATGTTAAGAGGTCATCGCGAAATCAACAAGTGATGCAATAAAA